ATAAAAACCCATGTAGCTAAAACAATTGTTAATAATAAAAGAACTATTAGAGTTATCACCATCCCTGATTTCAAATTGTACTACAAAGCTATTGTAACAAAAACAAACAAACAAACAAAAAAAACCAGCATGGCATTGGCACAAAAAAAATAGACATGTTAATCAAGGGAGTTGAAATGAAGACCCAGAATAAATACATACACTTATAGACACGTGATTTTTGATAAAGAAGCCAGAAACATAGCTTGGGAAAAAAGATAGCATCTTCAACAAATGTGCTGGTCAAACTGAATGGTTGTATGTAGAAGAATCCAAATAGATTAAAACTTATCACCCTGTACAATACTCAACTTCAAATAGATCAAAGATCTCAACATAAAACCAAATACACTGAACCTGATAGAAGAGTACAGAATAGTTTGAATACACAGGAACAGAAAGATGATTTTCTGAACAAAACACTGTTATCACAGGTACTAACATCAACAATTAATAAATAAGATGTCATAAAACCAAAAAGATATTGCATGTCAAAGGACACCATCATTTGGACCAAGTAGCAACCTACAGAATGGGAAAATATTTTTACCAACTACACATCCAATAGAGGGTTAACATCCAACATATATAAAGAACTCAAAAAACTATGTATCACGAAAACATATAACCCAGTTTAAAAAAAAAATGGGGTACAAATCTAAACAGAGAATTCTCAAAAGAGGAAACTCAACTGGCTAAGAAACACTTCAAATAATGTTCAACACCTTAACCATCAGAGAATTGCAAATTAAACTCTATTTTGAGATTTATTTCATTTTATATTTGTCAGAATAGCTATGATAAATAAAGTAAGTGATATGTTAGCTGTTAAGTCATTAGTAAGCAAGCCACAATCTACAGAACAACAGAAGTTAGGTATAGAGTAAGGGAGGGGGTTACAGATAGATCTCATTAAGAAAGAGAAAAGAATAAATAAGTTCTAGAAGGATGTAGATGCTGGGATGGAAGGACCAAGTTGGGTGGGAGCGAGAATGAGGGAGGGAATACAGATAGAGACAGCTAATATTAGTAGTCATTTGAGAGATAGTAGAAGCTTCCTAAAATACATATATATATATATATGTATATATATATATGTGTGTGTGTGTGTATATATATATATATATATATATACATGTATGAAATATATACATATATGAAGGTGATATAAATGAAATCCTCAAATAATGGGGAGACTGAATCTTCCAGTGTTGGGACTAAGTTACATCTCCTTGAGTTGTTGGTCAAAGGAGTCCCATGAGAACCCTAAAACTCAGGCTGTTGCCAAGGCTATAGGTTGCTTCCCACAAACTGACAAGGTCCAATGGCTGAAGACAATACCTACACAACTCATTGAACATGGAGAAGTCAAGCTGATGTCTATACAGAGCTTTCTCCCCTATGTTCTAAAGTTTTTTGTATGGGAAGAAATTCTATATGCTATGAAAAGAGAAATGTATACATGCTAGGGAAATGATGGCATAAACCCTGTGGGAGTAACTAACCAATATAGGATTTGACTTAAGACCTACTCTAGGAGATGGAATCTATACCCAACATTACTTGCATGGCCAAGAAACAGAGACTAGATAGCCCAGAGACCTAGGGTAAATAAAATACTGCTATTTGGAAGAAAGGAAAGAAGGAAGGAAGGAAGAAAGGAAGGAAATGGGGGATGGATGGATGGATGGATGGAGGGAGGGAAGGAGGGAGAAAGGAAGAGGCAAGCATAGTGACAACATGATTCCTTATGACATTTTTCTATACTCACATATCAGATTTCTGCTCAGCCATCATCAGAGAAGCTTACTCCTGCAGCAGGATGGGAACAAATACAGAGACCTACAGCCATGCATTATGCAGAGTGAGAGACTTTGAACACTTAACTCTAAATGGGATAGTGCCATCAAATCATTCCCCTATGGAAGAGCTCGAGGAAGTTCATGGAAGAAGAGGTGGAAATAATATAGGAGCTAGAGGAGATGGAGGACACCAAGAAAACAAGACCCTCAAAATCAACACGATCAAAGCTTATATGAACTCACAGAGACCAAGACAGCATGCACAAGGCCCATCATGGTCTGCAGCATGTCCTCTGTGTATACATTATATTATAGTTTCCAGATTAGTGTTTTTGTGGAATTCCTGAGTGTGTAAATGAGTGGGTCTCTGATTCTTTTTTTTTTTATTGATTATTTTACATGTCAATCCCAGTTCCCTCTCCCTCCCTCCCTTTTACCCTCTCTGCCCCCTCACATGCACCCTGACCTCACTCCCCTCCCATCCCCCACCCCAATTCCACTTGTAGGGCAATGCCATCCAGGTGGGGTCATGTAAATCTGTCAGGTCATTTGAAGTAGGGACTAGGACTTCTCTTCTGTCTCTAGGTTAAGGCAGTATCTCTCCATGGGGGATGTGTTTGCAAGGTCCTTTTGTGCACCAGGGATACATCCTGGCTCCACTGTCTGAGGTCCCTTAGACTGCTCAGTCCTTCTAGCTGAGACCCATATTCAGGGGGGCCTGAGTCAGTCCCATGCTGGATTCCCAGATATCAGTCAGGGGGCTGTTAGCTCCTCCTTGTTCAGGTCAGCTGTCTCTATGTGTTTCTGCAACCTGGTCTTGTCCTCTTCATCTGCATCTGGATTCTAGTTTGACTCAGTGTTTATGTATGGGTGTTTGCCTCTGTTTCTAACAGGTATTAGATGAGGGATCCATGGATAAGTTAGTTGTTGATCTCACTATCTGGGAAGGGTATTTATGGTAGCCTTTCCACGGTTGCTCAAATTGTTAGTTGGCATCAGTCTTGTAGGTCTCTAGATCTTTCAAACCAATAATGGCTCCCTCTTTTATGTTCTCTCTCTCTCTCCTATTTCTACCCTGACTCAATCTTCCTAGTTGCATGTGCTTTCCTCTCCTCCCCCTCTCTTTTTGCCTTCTCTTTAGGCTATTTTCCTTTTTGTTGGTTTGCCTTGTCCAACTTTGATGTGATGGGTTTCATTTTATATTTTTTGTTGTTATTTCTTAGAAGCCTATTCATTTCAGATGAGAGACAGAAATGCAGTGGATCAGATGGGAATGGAGGTATAGAGGAACTGGGAGGAGTAGAGGGAGGGGAGACTGTAATCAGGATATATTATGTGAGAAAAGAATCTATTTTCAATAAAAAAGGGAAAATGATGGAAGATGCCATTATGTATATATGTTTCTCATACTGGTTAATGAATAAAGCACTGTTGGCCAATAGGAAAGCAAGATAGGTGGGACTAGGAGACAAGGAGGAAAGAGGGAGTAAGGAGGAGCCAAGATGGAGAGTCGGGAGAAAGCAGTATGCCGGCCGGCTCCCCAGTAAGAGAAATACATAGATCAGCAGAAATGGGTTAATAATTAAGACAGAGCTAGCAGGTAAGAAACAAGTAACCAGGTCAAAAGCACTGTATCAAATACAGAGTCTCTGTGTGTTAATTGGGGCAGGCGCGGCGGCGGGACAAGACCAGGCGGCAGGCAGAAAAACCGTACTCCTTACAGGAAAATACAGCTACTTTGCTTCTACATATGTATTCAAAAGAAATAAATTGGCATAGCAAGAAGATAGATACATGCTTAGGGTTATTGTGTCAGTCTTCATAGTAGCTGAGATATGGAGTCTGCCTAGATATTCATCAGTAGATGAACAGATGAAGAGAACAGAAATATTATTTAGCAATAAAGAAGTATTAAATTGAAATGATGAAGGTAACAGCATTCTGTCCCAACTTTATGTCTGCCTAGTCACTTCTTAGGCTTCCACCCTCCACCAACAGCCTTCTCTGCCTTAGCAATGCTTCAGAGTCAGTCCATAACCTTGAACATACTCCAAACATAATATGCAGTAGAAGACACCACTGAGTCTTGCAAAGAAAGATGTTACTAGACTACTCTAAATCCCTCATTAATTTACCTCCCATTCATTCACCTTGAACACTGACATAATTATAGTTCTTTAAAACTACTGTACCACAGCTTGGGCATCAACAGACTTTTCAGAGGCAGGAGCCTACTCTTGGTCTGACCATTAATAAAAAAGAACTCAAAAGTTTTAATTGGCATAATCATGGAGGTTGTCAATAGCTATCTTACATAGATTACTTCAAAATCATGCATATTATAGCAACATGGATATAACATGAGTTATATCCTGTTAAGTTAAATAAGACACAATAGGTAAACAAGTATTGCATGCTCTCAGTGTAATTAAATAAAATTAATCTAAATATTGAACTATGATTATCCAAGGCAGAAGAGAAGCAACATTTTTGCTGCAATACAGTATAGATATGTATTGAAATATCACACTGAACCCCAGACATATATACATATTGTCTTAGCTTTAGTGTTTCTATTGCTATGAAGAGACACCATGACCACGGCAACTCTTATAAAGGAAAGCCTAAGTTGAGGTGGCAGGTTACATTTTCAGAGGTTTAGTCCATTATCATCATGGCAGAGAGCATGGTGGCAAACAGGCAGACATGGTGCTGGAGAAGGATACATGTTGATATGTAGGCAACAGGAAGTGAACTGAGTGTCATAGTAAGCAAAGCTTGAGGAAAGGAGACCTCAAAGCCCACCCCAACAGTGACACATTTCCTCCAACAAGGCCACACCTATGCCAGAAAAGCCACACCTCTTAATAGTGCCATTCCCTTTGGGGGCCATTTTCTTTCAAAGCACCACACATCTATAGCAAATATGTTTGAATAAAAGTAAACTTTAAGAAAAAAAAAACATATTGATATGAGAACTGAAAGTAGATAACATGAGTAAAGTCTGAAAAGTAGTATTGTCACAATATAAATTTTAAATACCATGAAGAATAAACATTTCTCATTTGTTAAATAAATACAAATATTTAAACACAAGTATACATATTCACTAGCATGTGACCATTTTGATAACATAAGCATGCTGAAGGATCTGCTTACCAGGACTTCCTCCATCAAGAACATTTGGATTCCTGGGTTGCAGAGAAGGGCGATTAGGAAAAAGAAATGTTATTTTCCAGCCTATCTTTTCTGGCCACGAGATGGTCCTCTGCACACCAACAAAACGCAAATGATATTTTACCTGAAAGTATGAATGAGAAGTCATGTATGTTGAAAGTCAAAAAGAAACTTAAAAGAGAATTTTAGCCATAAAGTTACATCCTAGTATTAAAACATGTGACTCTATGGACAAAACTTATCTGATAAATTCTGAATGCCCAGCATTTACAATGAGCAAGGTAGAGAACGTATACACACTAGATACATTTGAATTCTATTCAAAATACAGAAAACATAAAGGACAGGCATAAAAAGATTCTCAAGGGCATGCAATGAAATAAAAATAAAACTATACTACAGAAATATAAGCTACCTTTTTTTTAAAAAAAAAAAGATTTATTTATTTATTTATTTATTTATCATGTATACAGTATTCTGCCTGCATGCATATGCCTGTAGGTCAGAAGACAGCACCTGATCTCATTACAGGTAGATGTGAGCCACCATGTAGTTCCTGGGAATTGAATTCAGTACCTTTGCAAGAGCAGGCAATGCTCTTAAGTGCTAAGCCATCTCTCTAGCCCCCATAGCTGCCTTTTTTTGTTTTAACCTATATTGGCATAATAAAAAGCGAGCAATAAATGTTTGCAGAACTATAGACAAACAGGCCCTTGAAACCAATCCTTGTAGGATGAATAGAAAATAGCACACCTAACAACTAAGGGCTCAAGAGAGGTATGGTTCACCTAAGTGGAAAAGTATGTTAAAACACTTTGCATTATTAGCTAACAGTGATAGTTAAATGCTATAAATAAAATATTAAAATCCCCACTGAAAACCTACAAAACTGTCTGTGTTCCCTAAAAGCTGTTTGACTGCTAGAAATATGCATAGATTAATATAAAAAGAACAGAAAAAGTGAGAATACAACTATAAGCTGAATGGAAATTCACAGGATCAATGCCATGTTAATGAAAATTACATGGTCAAAGTCCCAGAAGCAGAAATTTTTGGTATCTGTATCGAACTTCCTGTGTAAGTAGTAAAAATTGCAGATTTGGGGACAGAGACACATCTGGATGGCAATAAATCTTGTGCCAAATACTGTACATGAGCTTATGTAAGCCACTAGAATTTTCTAATTTTTTTCAATGTATCATTATTACTGTGTGTATATGTATATATAAGAGAGAGAGAGAGAGAGAGAGAGAGAGAGAGAGAGAGAGAGAGAGAGAATGACCTGTATGTGGAGATTAGAGGATATCTTTCAGGAGTCAGTTTTCTTCTGCCATGGATTGCAAGGATCAACCTCAGCTTGTCAGGCTTTCAAGGCAAGCACTTTTATCTATGGAGCCATGTCAAGTACCTACATTACAGTCTTTTACTTAGGATAATGACATGATAACATACAAGATTGAATAGGTTCACTGGGATATTCACATGGTAAACAAAAGATTTTGTCAGGAAAATAAAGAGAATTTGTTTCTATTAGTTTATATTTATAAATGAAATCAACAACAGATACAATAGTATTCCTTTAGAAAACCTTCAAAACAAGTCTGTCAATATGGAGCTAGGGGTAAAAGTACTTGCTGTGCAGGCCTGAAGAACTAAGTTTGATTCCCACAATCCACAGTGTAAGGACAGAACTGAGTTTCCAAAGTTGTCCCCTGACCTCTACATGTATGCTGTGGTTGTGGCTGAGTGCCTGTACTCACACACACATCATACACAACAAAAACAACAATAATAAATTTTAGAAAGAAAATTAAAAAAATAGGCTTAGCACTAGAGAAAATTTATGGGAATTTTAGCATTGAGAATTTCAAAGAATTGAGAACAGTCTGTAGGTAGAGAGAAAACTTGAAGATATTGTCTTAGGGTTTTATTACTGTGAAGACACCATGACCTCAACAACTCTTATAAAGAAAAACATTTCATTGGGGCTTACTATGGAATAATGCTCTTGTACAATGTAAATATTTGTCACTTAAATTCGTTTAACAAAATACTGATTGGCCAGTAGACAAGCAGTAAGTATAGGTGGGACAACCAAACTAAGGATGCTGGGATGAAGAAGGGCAGAGTCAGGAAAGTTACAGTGAGATGAAGAGAAGTAAGATGGGTACACAGTACTGAGAAAAGTTACCAAGGCATGTGGCAAAGCATAGATAAGAAATATGGGTTAATTTAAGTGTAAGAGTTAGCTAGTAACAAGCGTGAGCTATTGATCAAGCATTTATATTAAGTCTCCAAGACAGTTATTTGGGAAGCAGCTGCCTGTTATTTGGAAGCAGGCAGTTGGGACAGGAAAACACCACATGCAGGGGCTGCCTTGCACTTCAGAGGTTTTGCTCATTGTTACCACGGTGGGAAGCATGGTGGCATATAAGCAGACGTGGTGCTGGAGAATGAACTGAGAGTTCTACATCTGGATCATCAGAAAGCAGGAGAAGAATGACACACTAGGTATGACTTAAGTAACTGAGACCTCAAAGTCTGTCCCCTAGTGACACACATCCTCCAACAAAGCCACACCTAACTCCAACAAGGTCACACCTCCTAATAGTGTCACTCCCTAAAGGCCTATGGGGGCAATTTCTTTCAAACTACCACAGATACACTGAGTCAATGTATGCTGAGGAAATGCACATGTGCCTAAATCCTCATTAACAGATACACAGCTTTATGGTACAGAGAGAAAGCTGACACAGATGAACAGAGCCTTCAAAATATGGGATAAACGTTAAGATTATATGGATCATACTTCTGCCTTCTGAAAAGCACCTTAGAAACAGTGGGTGTGGCTCCATCTTTAGAGTTTACAGATTGCCTATAAATTTTTCTAGAGATTACAAATTCAAAGCACCATTCTTTCCTCTTCTTTCTATAGATATCATCAGCTTTTCTTCAGTCCCAATATCCCAAGGTTGAATTGATGCAGCTATGTCTTCAAGTTTTCTAGAGATTTATAAAAGGAACTATTTTCCGTTTTTGATTCAAAGAAAGGATTTGAGTTCAGTTGTCTGCTAATAAAAATGTCTCTGACTTAAAACACATCTTTACCACTCTGTATGTACTATGACAAGCACTGGTTAATTAAGGGTTCCCCTTGGTCTATAGTACCCACTTGCATGTTTTGTGGTGCCATGACCATAATACCTGACAGAAACAATTTCAAGGAACAAAGATTTATTTTTACTTAGTTTCAGAGATTTTAGAAAGGCACAGAAGAGCAGAGTAATTCACTATAGCCAAGGAAGAGAAAAGGGGGGAAATGCCAAGACTCTATTGACTTTTTTCCTTTCCTCCTTTTATTTTGTCTATACAACCATGGGATACTGCTCTCCATATTTAGGATGGCTCTCCTTCCCTTAGTTGGCCCTTTCTGAAAATGCCTTTATAGATTTCTTAGGTGAATATAAATCTAGTCAAGCTGATAGTGAAGACTTACAATCATGGTCCCTTATCATCAGTAATACATACAAAGTTGTTGTCACTCATAGATGAATTAATATTCTTACTTTATTACTTATTACTAGTTTGTTCTCAAGAACACTTTCTTCGTTGACAAAATTGGGCTATTAATAGTAATCAATTCATTAAAAAGTACTAGACACTAAAGATACTATTATTATGAGAATTCAACTTACTTGAAAACACTTATAAAGTAAAATTTTCTTACCTGAAGTGGCAGAGGATCATTTTTGTTTTTGAAGCCACAGTCAAAAACAATAGCAGCCAGCACTTTCTGAGATGTATAATCAAACAGAATATACTTCTCAAACTCAGCTTCTGAAGGAAAACCTCGAACTACAGGAAGACAAAATTGTCTGCTTAAATAAAAATATCAGATGATCTTGTTTGAAAGATGGGATAATACTTTACACAGATAAAAATCTATTGAAATATTGTGAATGTTAATGGCCATTTTCTTAAATGTTGATATGAGTAGCTGATGGATACTTGGAGTACAAAATCTTACAGGCGTTTATAAAATTTCACTATGAAAAGATTATGTGATGTTAGAAGAACCAGTAGCACAATGTACATACACCACTAATGTGGTGGAGTTCAGAAACTATGCACAGTTTCTTTGGAGGTGATAACAACACTCTAATGATTGTTATAGTGCTTGTACCACTCCAAGTAAACTGAGATCCACTGACTCATAAACATCAAATAGATGTATGGTATGCTCAAATACAGAAGTACAGAAGATACATGCTCTATAAATCCATCAAGAAGTTCTAATAGACTGATTAGGACATTTAAAATATTTCTCTTCTGGCCTTTCCTGGCTCCTTCGCATTCTAAGGCTTATAAATTTAATAACACTTGCCTCTATTTCTCCCTCAAGCCTCTTTCCAGTTGTCAGTCAATGTCTTCCTTTCCTGCCTACATCTGACATGTAAAATTAAGCACTGAACTGAATTCCTGAAGCCAGTTGTAGAGAGGGAGGAGTGATGAGCAAAAGGGTCAAAACCATGCTGGGGAAACCCACAGAAACAGCTGACCTGAACAAGTGGGACCTCACAGATCCCAGTCTGACAGCTTGGAAACCAGCATAGGACAGAACAGGCCCCTTGAACCTGGCTGTCAGTCAAGAGACCTGGGTAATCTATGGGGTCTCTGGTAGTGAAACAGTATTTATCCCTAGTGTATGAATGAACATTGGGGGCCCATTCCACATAGAGGATACTCTCTCAGCCTACACACATGGGGGAGGGCCTAGGCCCTGCCCCAAATGATGTGACAGACTTTGATGACCTCCCATGGAAGGCCTCACCCTTTCTATGGAACAGAAGAGGTATGGGATGGGGATCAGTGGGGGGCATGGGAGGATGAAAGGGAAAGGGAACTGGTATTGAGATATAAAATAAGATTATTTCTAATTTAAATAAAAACATATAAGTCATGGATATACTTTTGGTATCCTTTATATAGGCTCACTGGAGAGGTACACCAACTGTTACATCCATTGCCCCAATCAGCTGCAAGAAGCCAGATCAGTCATTTTCCTTATTTCCTGATAGCAGCTATGTTTACTACCTCTTTAGAGGTGGTTAATGAGAACAAGTGACAGTAACTGGCCTGGGAACTCAGGGCAGGGACTACACGAAGCATGGACAGGAATACCAGAAGGGAGTTCTAGTTTCTCACCTCCTCCTAAATGAGCACACTTGCCTAAAAGTTTCTATGTGAGGGCCGGGTCTAGAACTCCAGTACAGACATTGATACCATCCTTGGAACTGGATTTCTAGATTTCATGAAGATGGGTTTTATATATTTCTTAATTTAGCCCATATCCTAAAGGATTTTATGGGGTGACTGACACAGAAACAAGGGAAAATTGGTTCTTCTGGATCAAGAGGATGAAAATCTCTGGCCTGAAAAGAGATCTAACATTTCAAGCTATCCAAAACATAAAAGAGTTAATTCAGTTTGGTAAATTTATGACCTGGACAAGTGCCCCAAGAAGGCAGAATCACTGTTAGGAAGGCAGAATCTCCTTAAGCCAGGAAGGATGGAAGGGAAAAAAAGAGGGAGGGAGAGAAGAAGGGAGGAAGGAAGGGAGAGAGGAAGGGAGAGAGGGAGGGGGAAGAATTATTCCTTTAATGAGAAATGTACTTTTCCTTTTCAGAGTTCTCACCCCATAGCAAGTCCCTGAGTCACTAGGAGGTTCAGCTGGGTATGTCAGGAAGGCATAACCCCCCCCTCTCATTCATTCCCCCCTCTCTTATTTTGTCTCTTCTGATACTGACGGAGCTAAACATGAATTTTCTATTGTTGCTGTTTGTACTTTGGCTTGCTTATTCTTTCTCTAACGTTCCCCTTCCTACCATGTAGCTGCTGATCACCATATAGATGATCTCCATGCTGGCTTAACTCACATAACATGGGATTTTTTTTCCCTCTTCTTCATTTTCCTCCTCTGGGTAGCTGCTGAAACTATAACTTCCCTGTCGTATTCTTTTTCTTTCTTTTTTTTTTTAAACTGTAATACTTCTCTTTGAATAAACTTCAACTTTGCCTATCTTTCAAAAGTATATTTGTGAGTTACAATATTGCTGGTGTAGTCTTTAATTTATATAGAATTGAAAACTTCAGGGCTGAGGACATAGATTAGTAGAAAGCTTGCCTAGTATGTATAAAACCCTTGGGTTCAGTCTCCAGCACTGTAAATAAACCAACAAACTCCAAGCCTCCAAACCAATCTCCACAAAACTATAACCTAAAGAGAAAATGTTAAGGGACTTCTGTTTTTGATATTACAGTAAGGTAGGAAAATACAACTTTAAATCAACTGTAAGAGATAGAGTATGTCTTTTAACTTTAAGAGAAAACACTTCTGTATTATATGATAGGAATCTAACTCACATCTTCCTTATTGATCATGAATTTTGTATCATATCTAAAGGATCAACTAGTTCTAAGTCACAAAGATTTTCTTACATGTTCTCTCTTAAAGGCTTCATCATTTTACACTTAGGTCAATGACCTATTTTCAGTTCATTTTAGAGAATATATGGATTTTTGATATTTTAGCTATTGGTGTTCAACTGTTCCAGTGCTATTTGTTGAATAGGTTTTCTTTCACTACATTCTGGTCCGCCATTGTCTAAGTCATTCTGGTGTCTTAGTGCAATAGATCTACTTTTGGGTTTTTTGTTATCTGATTGATTTGTCTACTTCTCCACCAATTTCACATTAACCTATTCATCACCATTACACTGCAAGTCTTAATAGTAACACATAGGCTTCCCTTCAACCTTAACTTTCAGCATTATTTTGTTTTTACAGATGTAGCAGTCTTTTCTAGAAAACTTGAATGTCTAACCTTTTATACTGGTGTTGAGATTCTTCTTTACATTCTCAATGATTTCAGTTACCACATCAATATCAGAAGGTACATAAACCAATTCCCATTCTTTGGCATCTTTGATGAAAGAAGGCATGGTAGCAATGGGTTGAGGTGTGAAATGATATGGTCCAACAACGCTTATATCAGTGAATGCACGGAATATCAACAACATTATTACAAACAACAATGCTGCCAAGATTTCTGTTACTGAACTAATCATCTGCCTCTTCTAAAAGAGGAAAAGAGTTATTGATTAGCTTAAAAGTACACATTTAATGCAAATGAGAGTTTTATATTTTTACTTCTGGCCCACCATGGAATAGAAGGAAGATGTATACCCCAGAACTTATGACTTGCCATCCATCAAAAGTATGGTATTTATTCTATGCATTCAATTCTCACAATAATCTTATAGATAACATAGAAAATAGGTGCATCATCGTTATAAATTATATTGGCAAACAGCCATGTGCTATTTGTACATACTGAGAGTGAACTATGGGAATAAGGAATCCCTTCTTCATATTTGAGCATGTTCATCTCAAGTGTCTTCCCAGACTCCTTGTTCTGGTAAAGGTTGGCCCCTTGATGCTGTGACAAGGAGGAAGTAGAATAGCAAACAGCTAACAGCATTAAACATGCATGGCCTTAGGAATAGATAGAAAGTAATCATTTCCAACTGAGGCTGCCATTGCTTATCTCATTTTATAAATATACCTGTGATAGGAATGAGAAGCTCATCCATGCAGACGTTCTGCCTTGGACTCTGTCAGGCACCCACCCCAGCATGAGTGTTTAAATGCTTCTCCAGTCACTTCTGCTGGACATTGTAAGTTCTAGATTTAATTCTGTGCTGTCTATACGCTGCTCTATATTTGTTCTTTTGCATAAAGTCCTCACCCAAGGGAACAATGCTCTGTCTGGGATTCAAAGTCACACACTCTAGTAAACTGTCTCAATGGGGCTTTCCCAGTCGATTTCTACTGAATTTGTAAGCACACAGTTTTGCTACCTATCTGATGCTTTCCTTTTGCTCTTTTTCTTTTGCTTCCTACAGGCTTAATAAACTATAGCTCTTATAAATCATCGTTCTCTGGACAGAACAACCACTGAATTCATGATGCTTCTGTTACAATGTCTCCTAAATAAATCTAAGTAATTGTTAGCCTATTTAGAAATTGAGGCCATGGGTCAACCATAAAAGGACAAAGCCTAACAAACTTCTGGGCCCTTAGCCTGTTACACAACAAAAGTAGAGTCTTCAATAATTTTGCCATGACATACCAGATTATGCCACAAGGATATGTATAGCCTGGAAGCTCTTTGTGACCAGAGCAACAACAATTGCTGGGATTTTACATAGCCACTCGAATGAACACTAGTAAATCATAAATCTCTCAAAAGAAATAGTAAGGGGTCAGAATTCTTACCAAAGAAAACCTTAAAGATACCTTGATTCACTTATTCTGTGTTGATTTTAAAATCACTAATTTTATATTTTTGGTTGTGAGCCTAGCCTTTAACAGCTGAGCCCTAAAATCACTAATTTTAGAGAATACCCAGTTGGACAATATATCATTAGTTTTCTACCACATAGTCTATAGATGACATTTCTGATATGCAGATTATAATTATGTTGCCTAGGTTATTTTGCAAGAACTTGAATCTTACTTTATAAAACACTGATATATGCAGATATCTGATATAACTTGAAAAAAGAAAAGAAAAGCTTTGTCATCTCTGCTTTACTAGTCTGTTTCACACCTCTGCTACTTTAATCTTTGGTCAGTCTATTCAGTAGATATGAAGATCACTTGAGAAATGTTGTGTTCAAAATTATAATTCAAGGTTAAATTGAGCTAGATTTGTCTAGTCTCTCTCTCCTAGTTATCAGGACCAGAAGCATCAGACAATAAAAGGAGAAGAGGGAGTACCTGAGTTCCAGGAAGTTTTCCACATATTCCCAGAAAAGAAGGATGCCCCACCCCTTAGGTAGCTTTTCTCTCCATTACTTTAATAAACATGCCTTTTCTGCTTCCCTTAAAAAGCAGTCTTCATACTAAACTAGAGGCAGGAGTTTACAGACACCCCTGTGTTGCCTTCCTTTTTCTCTGCAGCAGAAGCCCTTAACAAAAACCTTATCTGTGGGTTTGTATTTCTGGTCTTTGTATAATTACTACTTCTAAACACTAGGCCTGGGTTCTGAAATTCTCCTATACTATCTCGACTATCTCATCCCTTCTCACTTTTTCATGTCTACAGTATTAATCCATTGGCTTTTATACATATGGAAGATCTACCCAAAGTTTTGAATTTTTCAAAAGTGCATGCACAGGTGTACACAGACTGAAATGTAACAAATAGGCTCTTAAGGACATTTGCATGGATGCATTTACCTACCTTTAATGTAAAATTTTTCCAGAGGAGAACTGTTAATTGGTTGACTATCAACCAATTCATCCTTCTACAAAAAAATGTGTGCTGGACTCTAGGGAACAAAAGGAATTATTTCTTTTTGTTTTCTTTCTTTCTTTTTTATAATGGTAAGTTACCTAAAATGTGAACAACAAATAACAAACAATGGGATTATTTCTTTTTACTACTTTCATTTTTAGTTTCAAAATCGATAAAATTACATATCTGAAATAAAGCAAATTGTATTGCTCCTATCTTTTTTTTTTTTTTTTTTTTTTTTTTTTGGTTTTGGTTTTTCAAGATAGAGTTTCTCAGTGTAGCATTGGCTGTCCTGGAACTCACTCTGTAGACCAGTCTGACCTCGAACTCACAGAGATCTGCCTGCCTCTACCTCCCAAGTGCTGGAACTAAAGGCATGTGCCACCACTGCCTGGCTTCTATTTATATTCTTAAGATAAAATATTTTTAATATTTAATGAAGAAATTGGAAAGTAGAGAAATATAAGATGTGGCTCCATTTTCTCCAGGTTAAAATGATATAATACTAACAGGATTTGATTTTTAAAAAATATTCTGTTCTTAATATGTTATACACGATAAGTAAATTATCATTATTATAGAAACAAATAAGAAAGCAAATCAATGAAACGCATCAATCAGTATGTTTTCATATGTTCAGAGTATAACACTCCATTCCAAGTGTTGATGTGTAAACATATTTAAATGCCACTATAGTATTTACTGCACATTTACTATACATCATCATGTCCTATGCTAGCCATTGAGTATAAAATCAGATTCTACTTAAGCTCTGATGGTATTAATTTCAAGGACTAACAGCTTGAAAAATCATTCAATGGTGGACCTTTTAGTATGGTTGTATGAGAAGGTCAGCATCTATTCCTAACAGCAAAACAGATCTTTAACTGCAGAAAATTAAAAACACAACCAGTACTATGTGTGGTGGCACACAGTTTTAATACCAGCACTCAAGAGTAAAGCCAGGTTGGTCTATATCATCTGTTCTAGGCCAGTGAGGGCTACAAATTAAGATCTTGTCTAAAAAAATAAAAATACTATCATTAAGAAGAGCCTTAATTTAACAATTGAGTTAGAAAATAGAGAAACATTTCTTCAAGAAAATCTACTGAATCTTGGAAAGAATACTGAGTCGGTACATTTGAACCATCTCTCACACATTCTCCCTCCCGGCCCTTCATCATCTTCCTCCATCTGGCTCCATGTCAGCTTTCTTCTGGGAAAATCTGATTGGCATATGAGGGACTCTCCAAGATTCTCAATATAATATTATGATTGTATCCCATGAGAGAAAGAGTACTGAAGATGTCTCATTTAGGCTGAATACCCAGTCTTTCTTCTTAGTACTTTTATCTATTATTCATCTCTCCACTGACTACTACACACTATAAAAAGAAGCTCCTCTAAAGCCAAGAACTTTCCAGGTTTATGAATATGAACATAATTACAAATATTTAGAAGGCAATTTGACAGTGTGACCATTTTGAAAGATAACAATAACAGGTTCTATGTTCAGACTTATAATCTCCCCACCCATGCACTTTTGATCAGGGTTAAAATCAGACATAAAATTCCATCACATGGAGCAGGTCTCAAATCCAATCAGAAGGAGGTTATTAACCCCTAATAGTGAGCCACTATTGCACCAGAGGGCACATTTTGCATGACAGGGTAGTATTGTATCATACAGGGTTTAGAAGTGGGTAAGGTCATAGACTTTTTTCTCCCCCAAAATCTGCATAACACCTTCTAGAAATGTGGAGTTTAGCTAGCAGGGAGAAAGTTCCGGTCAATTTGATATTAATTTTTTTCTGCATCCAAAGTGTGTGGTGTCTTTAGTAATAGGCTTTTACCATGTGGTCAGAGTAAGCAATCACAAGCAATGGTAACATCTTCCTGACAAAGGTCAGGGAACACTGAAGTGAAAAGGCTTTAAGAGCCAGAGGCTGGGAAGGAGAGCTGTGACATAGCTAGCCCACACATGAATTCATAGCAGCTGTGGTTGCCTGCACAAGATCAAGCCAGCCAAAATTTTGGCAGACTGGGAAGGTGCTCTCATAACCTACCATTTGCAAAGGACCTATTGACAATTAATAGCTGCTGGGGGTGTACTGTGTGCTTTGTACACTTTAAGTATATATTGCTTTCACTGTTAATGAAACACTACTTGGCCAACAACAGGATTTTCAGGACAGAGATAATGCTGGGAGGGAGAACAGAGTCAGAGGAGTCACCAGACAAACAGAAATGAAGCAGGACATGCAGAAGTAAAAGCCATGAGCTTTAGGGTAGCACACAGATTAATAGAAATGGGTTAACTTAAGTTGTAAGAGCTAGTTAGTAAGAAGCCTGAGCTATTGACAGGGCATTTATAATTAATAGTAAGTCTTGACTGGATATTTGGGAAGTGGCTGATGAAACAGAGTTAATCCAAGTCCTGATGAAAAACTCCACCTATAGGGGTGGGGGTGTAAAAATCTTTCTTTTTTGAGAATGTAGACACGGGTAAATTATCATGCTTTGCTGGATGGCTTCACATCCATAAATATATGAGCAGCACTAACTTGACTTAGTGGAATTATCTTGGGGGATACAAGAGATGGAGGGGGCAAGTGAGGGGGGGATGTGATATTTCATTGCATACATGTATAAAATTCTCAAGAATAAAGAATAATTATTTAAGAAGTGAGAGGCTTGGAGATTCTCTTTTTATCCAGGTCCCATTCATAAGTTCATAAGTAAGAAGCCTATCCTAGGATCTATAGGCTGAATATCACACATACATACACACACACACACACACACACGGGGCGGGGGGAGTGTAGGAAACATAGCAACCTCAAAAGAAACTTCCAGCCTCCAACAGTGTGAAAATTTGGCTTTTAGCTGTAGCCACTCAGCCTATGCTATTTTGTTACAGTGGGCCTATGAATACAAGAACACGGATACTAGACTTCTTATTAGTAAGAAATGGCTTCTTATTAACTGTCTCAAATAGATTCCAAGAGCTAAATGAAAAAAAAGTAATGTCATTTCAACAAACTAAGTATCAACAAGCATATATACATTAAATACTTAAATCAAGGAAGGGTCAGTGGAAGATTTGAATAGGCAAAAGAATCAGTAAGCTTAAAATTAGCTTACTGATCAAACCATCCAGTTGGAAAGTCAAGAAAATGTTGACAATAGAGTAAAAGAAAGGGAATGAAAAAATGGTGAATGGCCAACAGAAACATTAAAAGAACCTTTATAAGAGTTCTGGAAAATGGAGTACATTTATACCATCCAATAAAGCAGAAGAACAGCAGAAAAGCTACATCAAAAAGAATAAGAAAATGTTTTGTGCTGACTGTTTTCCCTTTATTAAGTGTCACTTTTAGTAGGTGTGGCCTTGTTGGAGGAGTGTGTTATTAGGGGGCAAGCTTTGAGGTCTCAAATGCTCAAGCCAGGTCTAGTGTAACAGTCACTTCCTGCTGCCTGCAGATTCTGATGTAGAACTCTCAGCTGTCTCTCCAGCACCATGTCTGCATGTTCGGTGCTATGCTTCCCACTATGACCACACTGGACTAAACGTCTAAACTGTAATTCAGTCCCAATTAAATTTTTTCATTTATTAAAAATGTCATGGTCATGGTGTCTCTTCACAGCAATAAAACCTGAAGATAAGCATATTATGGTCTCCATGTATTACCACTGCATGATAAAGAGTTTTTAAAATGTGCTAAGTTGTTCCCATTAAATGATAAAGACAATGAGTACATATACATAATGCCCACTATTTATGGCTAAATTACATTTAAGGTTTTCGTTACTATTCTTGAGAGATTAAAAAGCAAAAAATGCCTGTAACATGTAAGCCCCTAGCTAGTACAAGCTGAACCCTGTAGCACCATAAATAAATTACCCAGAGACAGACATTGGGGTTCAAGCTGAAGATCAGGGAAGCAAAGCAGCCAAGCTACCAGAGAGCTCTTACCTCTAACAGGGCTGGGGCATTCCTAATCTTAACATGGCTGGAAAAGAGCTCTCTCCTATCTTCAGTGTGGATGGAGAATGAATGACTGTTACTGACTTCTTAATCCTGTTTTATATACCTCCCTTATGCTTGATTAAAGGCCTGTGATCCCAGGTACTGAGATAATCTTTGTGTGAGCTGTGTCTCTTTAGGACTGGATCAATCTTGTGTAGAGCTGGGAGGCCATGGACTCACAGTGATCCATCTACCTCTTAACCCTGAGTCCTAGGATTAAAGGTGTGTACCAGCACCTTCTAGCTTCTGGCTGCTGGGATTAAAGGTGTGAGCCTGGCTTCTGTGGCTTGTGGTTTACTTTGCTTTCTGAATCCTCAGGCAGGCTTTAATAAATATATCACTATAGTGCCCTAGAAGCTCACTTCCCTTTTTTCCCAAGACACTGAAGACTATTCTTTAAATTGACTGATATGTAAAACTTGCTGTTCTTGCAAAATAATAGGTCATAAGGTTAACTGCTATTTATTTATTTATTTTTTTAGTTTATGTATTTACTTATTTTATGGATATGTGCTTTATCTGCAATGTATGTATGCCTTTATGCCAGAAGAGGGCACCTGATCCCACTATAGATGGCTATGAGCCACCATCTGGTTGCTGGGAATTGAACTCTGGACATCTGAAAGAACAGCCAGCACTCTTAACCCCTAAGCCATTTCTCCAGCCCTATTTCTGGTCTTTAAATCGAGCTTTTTCTGCTCAAAAAGATGTCTAGGACAACTACAAGACATGCTAAAATGAGCCCCCACCTACATGCAGGCAGAATACATGTAATCTTGTGGATTTTGTCATTGTAAGCCCAGGGCTGATATGGCTAAGTGTTGCATCTTGGAAGCACTTTCAGGTGCAGCCTTGATGTCAGTATCTAAATAAAAACCTTCCAGTTTGTTAAAATTTATTAATAGACTGGGTAAATCTTTGAATGACCTCAGACCATAACAAAAAGAATATAAGCATGCCACCTGCAACTACATGAATTTAACTAAATATCGTATTAGGTGAAATGTCAGGCACAGAGAGATAAGCACTGTGCGTGTCCTTTT